ATCATCATAATCTTAGAATGGCTGATCTGGAAGGAAACCGACAGATCCCCAGCCCCAGTCAAGGAGGTGCAGGGAGGGGGAATCGAACTCCCAACCCTCTGCCTCCACAGTCAGGGTGCTCAAGGCCCTGAGCTCTGGCTGTTCTACCTGCAGCGTCCTGTGTATAGACGCCAGGGCTGAGCATTTTGTTGCTAACCCTCATCGAAAGGGGACGGCGGCAGAACCAGGGTGGATCTTAAAGAGGGACGAATCAGGAATTGAAATACTTAAACATTCTGGGCTGGTGAGCCTGAAAAGGCCGAAGAAAGCTGCCTGTTCCCCATGAATGTCGGGAGCTGCGAAGCCGCTATGGCATTTATTTATTTATTTATTTTATATCCCGCCTATCTGGTCGGGTCAGGACCACTCTAGGCGGCATCATCCTGCATTGCTGTGTAATCTGTTTTGACCGACAGCCAGCAATCCAAAGTCTCGCGCAAAGGAAGGGTTTTCCCCAGCCATCTCTTAGATCCCTTTACGAGCGATTTATTCGTCTTTAAACAGCTTTTCAGCCGCAGGGAGAGGCTGGGGCTTGAACTGGCGGCCCTCTGCCTTGTGTGCAACCGGGAGAGGGACTGCCTTTGAAGGGTCTTGTCCTTCGTACTTTCTGGGGCCCTGCATGTACACAAGAATCCGCCTGGCAGAATACACAAACGGCCCGGTCGGGTGTGCAAAGGAAGGGCCGGCTTCTTGAGCTAGGAAAGCTCCGTCACAGCAAATCGCTGGATGATGGGCTGTGTTGACAGAGGATGATGGGATCTGGGGGCTTGTGGAGATGACTCACATTCCCCTTTTGGAGAAGTGGCTGCCGGGCAGCCCTGCTCTGCCCTGCGCGCTCTCGGGGGGCACCCCCGTTCACCAGGAGGGCTGTAGTCCAGCCTTTCCGGAGGCCCTTAGTCACGGGAGGAGAGGCTGCCTCGGTGAGACCGCTGGCCAAAGGGCGGATGATGACAACACCCACAATCTGCCTGGCTGGCTGTGCCCCAGTTGGCGCTCTGCCCTCTCCCTTGTGAAATGTGCCAAGCTGCAAAGGAAGGAGAGAGAGAGAGAGAGAGAGAGTCATTCATGCCTGGCAGGTCTTGGCGTGGGTGGCTGCGGAGGGCAGACAGTCGCTATTCCTAGCCAAACACCGAAGGGGTTTCCCCTTCTCTGGAGTGAAATCTCTTTGCGGACGTCCCTTGCTGCTCCCAGCAGCTGACGCTGAGGTTGTTGCTGCCTTCAGCAAATGGTTTCCCTGCCAAGGGCTGTACAGCGGTGGCAGTTTCAGGTCTTGGAACCCGTGTCCCCCCCCCACCCATGGCAGAAACGATCCTCCCTGCTTCTCATAAGGTCACTGCAAAGTTTACAGCCTTTCTGTCATTGAACATTTTCATTTATGATGTGTTTCAAAGGATGTCCATATTGCTGTCGTATTAGGTAAAGGTTCCCCTTGACATTGAATCCAGTCGTGTCCGACTCTAGGGGGCGGTGCTCATCCCCATCTCCAAGCCATAGAACCAGCATTTGTCTGAAGACAGTTTCCGTGGTCATGTGGCCAGCGTGACTAGACACAGAATGCCGTGACCTTCCCACCCAGATTTATCGACTTGCATTTTTACATTCTTTTGAACTGCTAGGTTGGCGGGAGCTGGGACAAGCGACGGGAGCTCCCTCCGCCGTGTGGATTCGATATTAGAATGGCTGGACTTCTGACCTTGCAGCACAGAGGCTTCTGTAGTTTAACCCGCAGCGCCATCATGTCCCTTACTGAGTGTCGTATTACTGGGTGTAAATAGAAGCAGATGGAAATCATAGACTCATGAATAGTTTAAAATCAGAATAATACAGTTTAATGCCGTTGTTCCTGCTAGGCCCACCTTGATCAGTGAAAGATTGCCCTGTTTTGAGAGTACTTCTGTTTGCCTGATGGTAACGCCTACGCCGGATGGATCAATCTCTGCTGGATGGAAGCGAGCGAGACCTGGCCGGCTGGCTTCCAGTGCAGGAGAGATGGGCTCCGACTGTGGTTGCAAGGGGAAAGGATCAGGGCCAGCAATGGTGAGGGCCCTGGAGACAGAAAAATCAGGGAACGGCCGAGGGGCCGCCTTTCCCAGTGGGAGCTGGGGGAGAATCCAGAAGAGACTCTGTTGCAAAAAAGGGGATGCCATGCAGGTGGTCCTGGAACTCCTTCCTAAGGCTTGAGAAACATTCTTTTTTAGCCACTATGCCAGCCAGCGTTCCCCCACATGTTGGCTAGAGAGGATTGGGGTAGCTGCAGTTTCAAAGAAGTAACTTTTCCAAGCCCTGGCCCTCTTTACCTCTTTCGTGAGCAAGGGGACGTGAGAGGCACATGGGTGTTCAGAAACCTGGGCGACCCTTCGCTTAACCGGCCAAGCCCCTGCGGTTGGTAATGGGCATGCTGGGTGTGGAGGGATCCGTGGCTGTCTATCCGGAACGCTGCCTCTCGTTGGAAGGGAAGGAAGAAGGGGCTTAAGGTTTGTGCCCCTGAAAACGGAAGCCGGTTGTTATGGCATATGTTAGGGAAGTCCAGAAAACGTGCACCTTTGCAGTCCAGGTTCCCTTTTCCTTCCGGTGCTTGTCGTAAAAGAGGAACTCGGAAGATTTTTGCCAAAATGGGAAACCGGGCCTGGGCCTTTTCAGGACCCCTTCAGCCCAGCCCGTGCATTTTCCAGGGTCCCTTCACAGTCTTGAGGACCAGAAACTTGAGGTGGGTAAAAGTGGAAATGAGGGCCGTCTCGGGGCTGAATTATGCCTCTCGTGCCGGCTGCCCAGTGGTAAAGGTTGGAGAAGGAACTTCTTTGGAAGACGCCCCCAACTCTTGTTGTGTCTGCTCCTTGCAAGGCCAGTGGGGATCTCGATGCTGATGTTCTTTGAGGAAAGGTGCCTTATGTGTGTGTGTGTGTGGGGGGGGCAGTGATTCCCTTCCAGGCCACACATTTTAGCTGCTGAGCTGCAGTCTCAGATCCGAAGGCTCCTGCCTGAGGGCCAAGGGCTGGGAAGGTGGAGGCTGAAACGAAGCAGAGAGAGCCCCTCCTTCTTGGCCCTCCCTCTTTGTCCATTCCCCTCTGCCAGAGGTCAGAGGTCAGCAGGGGTCTGCCCCAAACTTGCTAATTGCCTGATATAGGGATAAGGGAGGTGAAGGGAGAGATGCACGCCATCCCTACAGGTGTCAACCAAGGCTCAACAGAGAGCACGGAGTGCCATCAAATATTTATCTCTTCCACCCCTGCGGAGGTGAAAGGTTGTGGTGGACTGGAAGGAACAGCTATGGCTCCCGGAGGGTTCGGGAATTTGCAAGGAAGAAGGCGGACCTTCTGGGTCACTCTGTTGACCTTGTTGCATTTCCTTGTTAGGTGGACTTTTAAATGCTGGAAGCATCGGTTGCGTGGTTGACATCTTGGGGGTGAAAAGTCTCTGGCTAGGATTCACGACGGCTCAACAGACTGTCTTGAGGTGCAACCAATTCAGCAAGATTTTTGTGCCTCCGTAGCAGAAATCGACCGAGCCCCAATTGGCAAATAGCAATTGACCAGAATCCTTCTGGGAATTTATCTCAGCAGCGTAATCACACAAATCATGGCTGTGAATTGCCACTAATTAACCGATTGCTGTTCCCATTCCTGGTCATATGCCAGTCACGCCACTTGCCCTCTGACCAGGGATAGACTTCGTACAATGAGTTGATGTTGATGATTCTGGGTTGGGAGGATGAGCTGGCAGGTGCCATCATGATCGTTGGCACAGGGCCAGTGGGAGGGCAGGTTCTTCTGCACCATCTCCACCCAGGGCTAGGAAAAAGGCCTGCTGAGATCCTGCAAATGTTACGTTCTTGGATGATCACTCCCAGAATCCCTCCGCGACTTTTGTATTCCCAAAAAGTAATGTTTCCAAGGTCCAAAATCCTGCAAAGCCATCTGCCGCCAGGCAGTATTGACAGTACTGGTGTAAACAGATGAAAGACTTGACTCAGCATTAGCCAGCTTTCCCAGGCTAGCTGGTTGGTTGGTTGGTTACCACCGCATGAGTGTGATGCACTATTCCTGGCGGTTAACAGATGAAAAGAGCCAAGCCATAACAGAAAAACAGTAAATCAAGATGATAAAGAAGGTCTTTATCAGGGGCAGGGCTTCAGGGGTGGTGGTGGCAGCTTGCTAGTAGCACCTGCTGTCGGGGCTTTCCCGGTGATGGCCCCTAAACCGATGGGATGAGCAAAGGCGTAGGTTGGCATGGAGAGGAAGGGTGAACTTTGAAGCTAACGAGAGCCTGGGGGAATTAAGAGGAATGAAAGTACTTTGTGTCTGGTTATGATGGATTAGAAGTTAGGACGCTCTGCATTTCGCAACGATTCTTTCTCCTTTTTTCTTTTCCTTGACAGGAAAAGCTGAGTTTGATTTGTACGGTTCGTGCTGGCCTGTCTTGTTCCCTGCTTATTCCTGTGTTTTCCAGCTAGACTAGTTGGGAGACAACCCCCCCACACACACCTTACCAGAGTATGAGATATCTTAGAAAGCGGGTTCCATCAACTTGTTGAGATTTCTGCCGTTCATTGATGGCTCTCTTTCACCTCCGTCTTCAGGGCTAGGACGGCTAGATTTCTTGACATGTCCTTTCTTTTACCAGTGAAAGTTGGGGCTGGCTGGATTCTGCCTCTGTAATAGCACCCTCTCTGCCTTTCCTTGTGCTTTCATGCCCTCAGGACGTATGCTTACCATGGGATACAACTCTTCCTCAGGGCTTGTGTCCTGAGTATCTATCGGGGACAGATTTAAGAGGATCCAGTGGGGCAAAGCCCCCTGACCTTTCCAAGGATATTAGGATTCATCATCTGTTTCCCTATAAAGACAGCCACGTTATTGACCTCCTGGGACCGGTAGCAATCCTTGCGAAGGGGGTAGGGGGGTGTTAATGGAGCCATCTCCACCTACGATAATATCCTGCCTTGTTCTCTCTCCTCCTTGCAGCTCTATGAACTGGACAGCGACCCGAAGCGCAAAGAGTTCCTGGACGATTTGTTTGGCTTCATGCAGAAGAGAGGTGAGTTTGGAGGGTCTCCTGGCTCCTGTACCCTCGGGGTGCGGCCGTTAAACTGCAGTAACTGCAGTGAAGATTCTGCTCACAACCTGAGTTCAATCCCAATAGGCTAAGGTAGTTGGCTTGAGGTTTAGTTGGCATTCCATCCTTCCGAGGTCAGTACCGTATTTTGAGGTTTAGTTGGCGTTCCATCCTTCCGAGGTCAGTGCCGTATTTGCCGGCGTATAAGACGACTTTTTTGGCCCCCCAAACATGCCTCCAAGTGGGGGGGGATGTCTTATATGGCGGATGTACTTCAGTTGGGCCAGGAAGGAGCCACCGTAGTTGAGTGACGCACGGCTGCGCTGGCAGGGGAGGAAGGCAGGCGGGCAGGCAGGCGGACGGTCCAGACGGAGGGAGGGAAGCAGAGCCGGCCATGCCTGAGTGGCCAGAGCCTGCCGCTGGGCTGCCCGCCACCCCATGTTGCTGAGCCAGCTGCCTGCTCATCTGCCTGCTACCAGATAGCCACTTCCCCTCTTCCTCCTCCTCCTCCTCCTCCGCCGCCCGCCTGGCCACTTCCCCTCCTTCTCGCCCTCCTCACAGCTGAGTCAGCCGCCCGCTCGCCCGCGCGCCACCGGAGAGATGCTTCCCCTTCCCCTCATCCTCCGCTGCCGGCCTCCCGGCTGCTTCCCCTCCTAGTCCTCCTCCCCGCTGGCCATGAACGTCCAGGGCAGGCCCAGGCAGAGCCCCGGGCAGCCACTGCCGGCACTGCAGCAGAGCCATCCACTCTATATTTTGAGTGGAAATGTTGGGGGGGGGTGTTGTCTTATACGCCCAGTTGTCTTGTACGCCGGCAAATACGGTAAATCCGAGTACCCAGCTCGCTTGGAAAAGGGTGCACCGCGTTTAGGATGCCTAATTGAATCGTAAAGCACGCAGAGAGAGATTTAAGCTCTGTGGGGTGGTCTATAAGCAACACACTTTGCTCTTTATCCTTTGACGTCAAGTGGGGAAGAAAGAGGAGAACGGGGGCAGAATGGTGTTGGTGTTGGGATATTTGCCTTGAGGCCCCAAATTTCCCACCCCGACTGCTCTTTCTCCATCTTCCAGAAGGCTGCCGAGAAATTGTGTTTGGGTGGTGGTTTGTTCAGGTAGACAGCCCTGCACCATCTCAGCAGATTGGACGATTCTTTGGTACGTCCAGATGTATGGATATGAACCTTCACTCATCTCCTTTTCATATTGAAGAACACGAAGCCATTTAAAAAATATTATTTTTTTCCCCTTACTTTCAAGAGGGTGAGAAATTTTATGTGGTTTTTGATGGATGCATTTCTGCTGTTGCCAGAATGGCTTTTTGTACCAACTTGGCCGGCTACACTAGGATAGCTGTGGCTTCTTTACAGGGCCTTTAATGGAGAGAAGCATCACGTTGGCTGGTTCCCCCTTTTTAAAATAGATCCATGAGTTTTGATGACAATGTCCTGGGTATGCTGGGAGAGGCTCCAAAACAGGACTTTTGCAAACTCCGCCAGTGATGTCAGAATGAAATTCTGCTCCCCCATCTGACAGAATTGCCATTCTGCGTCCATCTGTCTCTCTTCTCTCTTTCCTTCCCCCTTTCTCCGAGGTTAAAAAAAGGCAATGACTGCTGAGACTCTGAGAAAACATATCCTGTGTATACATACAGTACGACCCTCCTATCCACGGGATCAATATCCACTGATTCACTTATCTCCTGCCTGAAAATGCTAAATAATGCCCCCCCTTCCTGGAAATACAGTACTGTATATATTTACAGTGGTGCCTCGCATTACGACGTTAATTTGTTCCAGCGAAATCGCTGTAGAACGAAAACGTAATGCGAAAAGAAAAAACCCATTGAAACGCATTAAAACCTGTTTAATGTGTTCCAAAGGGCTGTAAAATCACAGTCCAGCGAAGAATCTCCATAGGGCGGCCATTTTCGCTGCCTGTGCAGCGAGGAATCCGTCTCAGAAAACAGCGTGGGGCATTTTGTTATCCGGCGGCTGTTTTGAAACCGCCGATCAGCTGTTGGAAAATTGTCGAATTTGAAGAATCGGTTCCCAAAGCAGGGAACCGATCATCGCAAAGCAAAATTCCCCCATAGGAAACATCATTTTGCAATCGCAAAAGTGATCACAAAAAGTTTATTGTAAAGCGGTTTTGACGTTAAACGGGGCAATCGTAAAGCGAGGCACCACTGTATATGTATTTCCAGAGTGTATTTACCAGAATGGACCACTAGAGAGAGCCAGAGACCACAGCATCCCATATTTCCACATTTTCTGGCATTTGCAGGGGAGGGGGCTTGGAACGGACCCCCCATGGATATCATGGTCCCATCGTATTTATGTGCCATCACGTCACTGCTGGCTTGTGGCAGCCCTAGTCGGGTTTCTCATGGTGTGTGAGATGTCGAAGGGCTGGTTTGGCATGGCCACCACCTGCCCGGTGAGTTCCCATGGACAAACAGGGATTTGAACCTGGGTCTTTGGAGTTCTAGCCTGTAAGTTATCTCCCCTGCTCCGCACCACCTCCCTCCCTCCATTTATGTGCCATCACGTCACTGCTGGCTTGTGGCAGCCCTAGTCGGGTTTCTCATGGTGTGTGAGATGTCGAAGGGCTGGTTTGGCATGGCCACCACCTGCCCGGTGAGTTCCCATGGACAAACAGGGATTTGAACCTGGGTCTTTGGAGTTCTAGCCTGTAAGTTATCTCCCCTGCTCCGCACCACCTCCCTCCCTCCCTCCTTCCCTCCCCTCCTCTGTGTGTGTATCAACTGTTTATGCCAGTATTTCCCAGTCTGAAAGTCATGACCCCCAAGGCAGTTGTGAAGTGATGTTCATTAATCCAGAGGCTGGCAAAGGACCGTAATTGATGGGAGCCTCCGACCGCATGGGGTGAGCTGCCCTTGTGTGCGTGTGTGGGGCTTTTGAAAACAGCTCAATGGGGGGTCGGGAGCAGAGGTCAGGGGTTAAAGTATTTATTGAATACCCTCAATGGCTGGAGCTTGCTATTTATCCCACCCGGCCCTGATAACAAAACCGGACACTGATTTCCGATGCCAGAACTGCTGTCCATCAAGGGCCACCAGAACCCGCCTGCCATTCCCGGGTTTGGTGCGCGCTGTACACACACACACACACACACACAC